GGTTTCTGAGCGTCACAAGTGGCCACAAAATTAATTATAAGTGCACACAACATTAAATTAATCAATTTGGGGAATTTTGATATATATATATTTTTATTTTATACGTAGATTTTTATGGTAATTTTCTTTATAATTATATTTGTTATTTGTCTCTAACATAGTAGCCAGCTGACAATACTTCCCATACTGTATGGGAAGTGTGGAAATTTCATCTATGGGGCTTATGGACTAGAATTGAGTCCTCCTAATCTAAATACAACTGAGAGAGAAAAACCTAATCTGGTGATCATCAATATCCTGATGTCCCGTGTATTCTGCCAAAACCCTAATCATGTCCCCTTTCCGGTGCACTCTTCCTTAGTGTCACTGTCAGCTTTTCTTCTCTTTATCAAAGGTGCTCTGTTAAGATTTCTTGCAGCTTCTCAGTGGGATTTGGAATGATTTCAACTCAAAGAGTCCTCCAACAGTGGACATACCATCCCTCCTTGGCCTGGTTGCTCAGGAAACTGTACATAGTTCAATTATCTCCAATCCTATCTCCACAATACTAAAGCAAGCCCATCTCCAGATGTATTAACCCAGGTGGATATGGTGGATTCAAGATAGAAAAGGCTGATGTGTATTGCATGAACAGAATCCACCTCTTATACCTGGCCTGTTCCAGGTTTGGAGTTTGTACACCCCATGTCACCCCCCTTCAAACTCCAAACCTACATAACCCTATGGGATTAAAACAGAGAAAAACAACTGAAGGAAACAAGAGAACAAGGTGGTATTTTCAACATGATAAGACAAATGATTTTATTTTTGATTGATTTTTTTTTTCTTTTTTTGGAGACAAATAAAATAGACAGAAAGTGAAAACAAGATCAGATAGGAGAGGCACAATAAAGACAAAAGATGTTGGTGTTGCTGAGACCCGAGTGCCTTGGTGAGAAAATCAGCAATGTTGTCTTTGGTTGTTACCCATTGAAGGTCAATCTGGTTTTCTCTGATTGAATCATTCACTAAAAAGAAGCTGCGGTGGAGACTGGCTTTTGAAACATTGTAATCACCAGACCCAAAGTGAAGGCAATGTGCACACATTGGCTTTCTAAGTAAAAAGAGGGCCCTTTGTACTTAACAAGGCAATGTGCACACATTGCCTTGCTAAGTACAAAGGGACCCCTTTAGAATTAACAAGGCAATGTTTACATGTTTCCTTTGCTTTGGGCCTGGTGAATTGGCCACTAAGAGAGATGCAAGATTATCACAGAACATTTCAGCAACCGTGATGCCAAGGACAAGTTCCTTCCAGCTACACACACTGCAAAATATGCCAAAAAATAGCCATAAATAAGGTTTGGAGTTGTTAGGTTATTTTTGGGGTTGATAGATGAGGTTTTGGATAATTTTGGAAGATTTCGTGGTTTGGTAAAGTAACAAGGAAAGGGTGCTAAAAAGGGCCACAGGTAAATTGTGGAATAAATATTCCAGAGGGGCCTGAAAAGCAGGGGTCTTGAGGTCGCCCACTAATTATATCAGGCCTTGATGTGAGGCAGGGGTTATTTGGGGTAACCTGATATCCTGAGGCCTGTCAGACCGGGGTGTCCAAAGCCCAGGATGATAGTAAAACAATGATTTTCAAGAGGAGTGTCTCACTATAACTTCTCTTGTGGTAAAAAAACCTGCAAGTGGAGTCTCAGAACAGGGGAAGGGGTTCTGAGACGAAGACTGGGAGGTAGATAGTACACTGGACAACTTAGAAAAACTACTCACTAGTATAAATCCTGGCGGTGCTTATATAACTCTTCTATGCTGGTGTCTGGGGTCTCTGTCTTTTTGAGCAAGGAACAGAGGGTCCTTCTAAGTCTTTTCTGAACTTCTGAGACAGGGCCAGGTTTGGGGAGCCCTGGGAAGCTCTCATGGGCTGATCCTGGATCTGTAGAAAGTGTCAGTAGATCTCTTTCACAGCAACAGATCCTTTTTAGAGGACCTACAGAAATTTGTTTTACAGATCTTACCAGGCTAGCCAGTAGATCTTCTCGGGCTAGTGGATCTTCTCTCATGATGTAATTTCTATAGAAATGGTGTAACTTTCTCTACTAAATTATGTATTATCTATTCTGTTATCACTTATTTCCATATTTCTAGTTTCATACAATATGTAAATATTCTAAAACCATGTAACTTCGTCTAACAAGCTGTGTGATACCTCTGTATACCATTTTGTGACAGGTTTTTTTAGGTTTATTTCCTGGATTTCAAGGCTAAGTTCCTGTTCTTACTATGATAAAGTAGTGTAAGGGGTTGGATTTTGCTTTGGTGTTCAGTGGGTGACCCTAGGTTATTTTGGGAGTAGAATTCATTGGAATCAAAATATTCAATAAATTTATACTCTTTTAATTATCTTTCTTATGCTTGTTTATCTTTGCTGCTATGTTATCTTGTCTCTGAATAGCCAGCTGAAATAACACTTGAGATTTGATGGTAGGGCGGATCAATAAAGTAATCCTGGTCAAGAAGAGATGGAAGTTGACAGCCGCAGAAAGAGTGATATATTCCGCACAGTGAGTGGATTTGGTGTTGAGAACCCCATTCCACCGGCAAGCCAAAGATTTTGGTGCAAAAACCCAATGTCAAACAATGAAATTCACCATCCCAGCTGGTGTCTGACCAGGTCTGAAGGCGATGTGGAACTACTCTAAGGGGAGTAGAGCTTGGAGGGGAAATAGACAACTACACTACTAATAATGTA